CGGTGGTCTCGAACTCACAGAGATCCGCCTGCTTCTGCCTCCCGAGTGCTGGGATTAAAGGTGTGCGCCACTACCACCCGGCCACAGTAGACTTTTAATGCATGCCTACCAAGGAGAGGGAACGTAAGAGGAGACTTGGAGGAGTGCTTTCAGCTTTTACTTCATGCTGTCGTAGTTCTCCAGTCCAGGCAGCTGCTAGATGAGTAGGTGTGACACTCCAAAGGGATTGAGAATTTTGTTTTTGACAAAATTAAATCAAAGTACTTCACCATCTCTAAAATGATTTTAAAAAAAAAAATTCCCACAAGGATGAAGAAACTGCTTTTTTTATTATTTATAGCTTCTGGATTTTTGTGCTCCATGCCCTCTTTATGTTTTTCTAACAATTGAACCCCATACTATATGACAGTCTAGAGCCTCCTCAAAATAATAGGTATGATTGAATTTAAATAAGGTATTGCTCAATGTTTAGGGAAAAGGCTGTAGCAAAGGTCACAGTGTTAATGATCCCTGGATACATACAGTAGTTTTCTCTAAGGTATGAATAAGTGTTCCATTTTTAAAAATTCTAGGTTCAAATAATGGGTGAGTTCAAATGTTGGCGAGATTTTTAAATATCATTTTAAAGCCTTTAATTATAAAATAATAATTTAAAAATCCTTAGTTATAAAAAAAATAAAGAAGACATAGAGTACAAAAATCCTGAAGCTATAAATAATAAAATATGTCATTTCTGGAACCTTGTGGGAAACATTTTTTATTTTAAAGATGGTGAGGTACTTTGATTTAATTTGTCAAAAACAAAATTCTAAATTCCTTTGGAGTGTAGGTATTAGTATATTAAAGGATCATAAATATTGCACTGAAAAGTTTCAATTGATTGCTCTACCATTTCCAAAATTTGTATGACCACTGAACTCTTTTTAAGTGCCTTTAAAAATTCCATTGAATTGTACTATGTGGACCAAAAAAAATAACAGTTTTCTTTCATGTCATGTAAAAATAATATTATTCATACCTTTTGTTAATGACAAAAGATTCTAATCTGCAACTGGGAATGTCACTCAGTGGCAGACTATTTATTTAGCATGTTCAAAGCTCTATGTCCAAGCCTCAACACCAACAATGTTTTCCTTCATACACACCTACATACACGCACAACTGTAATCACATTTTGAAATCATAAATTATAAATAATTGTTTTGTCTGTGGCTATACCACCCTGAAAACACTCAATTTCACCTAAATATGACTTCTTTTCTAGGTTTCTGGAATAGGCAAAGTTACAGAGAAAATGTTAATGGCTCTTGGAATTGTTACTTGCACAGAACTCTACCAGCAGAGAGCATTGCTTTCTCTACTTTTCTCCGAAACATCGTGGCATTATTTCCTTCACATCGCCCTCGGTCTAGGTTCAACAGACCTGGAAAGGTATCTATATATATATATATATATATTTATTCAGATTTTTGTCATTTTCATTATCATTTATCAGTGTCAGTTGGAATTTTTGCAATGAAGGATATTTCAGAACATTTTAAAATGCATTTTGACTGATTTAACTTGGGCTCTATCTTGGTTAAAGTTATCTGTTTTGCTGTGGGAAAAAAGAGAGATAATGACTCACTTCTAGGTGTTGACTTCAGTGGTAAGGAATGTGGGAGAAAGGAATGGTGGTTAAGTGAAAGACCCCCAGACCCCTAAGGGGCACAGGGTTCCAAGGAGCCCCCG